ACAGGTGGAAAAGGAAGAGAGAAAAATGAGAATCTGCAGACAGGTGGAAAAGGGAGAGAGAAAAATGTACCTGCAGGAGGAACCGATTGTTAATTCTGATATGTTTTCTAAAAAAAAAGTCTTAATTTAATAGAATTTAGAATATTTTGCACTAGTATTCTTTATAAAAAGAGTAGACCTTTAATATTCCAAACCATTATAAGTTCTGCAATAGCAAAAAGTCAAAGTTTGAAATATCAAAGTATTGCACCATTAGTTATATAGGGATTAAGAATTTAGAGTTTGTGGCAATGACTCAATTTACATGATTTTGAGATTTTGTCACCAACCCTTATATTCTAGATAGACCTTTAAGCCATAATCCGTAATTTTGTTCAAGTTATTATTTGAATAATCGAAAGCATTTAATCTTATTAACATTTTTTATAATAATTTGAGAACAGAATGTTAGATTTATCTAAGTATGTTATTTGGAATAACTTTGTGAGTTTTTGCCACAAACTCTGATTTTCTAATTCTTAAACTTTGAAACCCAATTGGCACAGACTCAATTCAAGTTTATTATGGTTTCAATTGTGAGTGCATACATACCAACAATGTCAATAAAATGAAAGCCTGCAAAAAAAATAAAAAATAAAAATTACCGTTTTGAGTGTCCTGAAGTAAGGAACCAGCACTGTTTAAAACTAAAGATACTATCACTGTATGTTTGAGCATTTTTTCTAAAAACATTTGAATAAATTATGTTTTTAAAAGTCAGCTGTCCGCCTGCAAAGCATATTAATATGTTATTCTGCTGCTTCAGCAGTGCAGTAGGACGAATTATATTTTTCTTTAGAAGGTTTTCATGCAAAGACTTTATTTGACATTTTTATTTTCAAATTAATTTTTATTTTCATAATAATTTTAATTTTCAAATTGATATGAGAATGCGAATGCAAATAAAATGCAATTTCACTTTTCATTTCCCAATCTAAAAAAACCGGAATACTTACCTCCATGATCATATTTTCTAATATCTATATTTTTGCAACCTGATGGTGCAAAAATTTTATATGTTTTTTATTTGAAACTTTGTCTGTTTGATGTAGCAGAATTCATATTTGGAACTATCAAAGGTCTACAATAACATGTTGCAAAGATATAAGAATTTGCAAATTAGATTTTGTGAATATGAAAAATAATACTTCAAGGAGGTTATGTGTACTTGTCTTATTTCAGTGGCTATTTCTAGATCAAATAAGCAAATTTGAAACAAAGCAGAAGATAAAATATAAAATTGATTTCAATTTCATTTTCATTTCAATTAAAAAAATTTATTGGGAATAGCCTAAATGTTTTTGAAGAAAATCCGGGAACCTGCAATCAAAATTTTATAGCACACCACTCCTGTATGCCGAGTCCATTAGCGCCTGATCCAATCAGGGTTTCAGTGTTTGGTGTCTATTCTGAACCAATATAAATTGTATGGCGGTAGCATCTATATTTCTATCTATTTCATTATCCAATTAGAGATATGAATCCTTAAATCGGCGCTATCAGTAAATGTAAATATTTACTTCTAATGAAACTGTGGTGACGAACTATAATGTACAGTTAACTTAACTTTATAGCACAATGATTACTGTATAGCACGTTCATTATGAAATTCACGATGAAGTGAGGAAGAATGATAAAGTAACTACCTCATGCACCTAAATTATATATCTGTTATAATTGTAAAATTTTACTAAACAATGTATTTTAAATTAAATCTACTTCATTATTGAAGAAAAGTTGGAATGTTCTTTAAACTTAAAATTTTAAAGAATACAGAATGTGTATTGAATTTTAAATAATAAATATCTTCTTTCTAAAGAATTGAGTCTTTGCCACAAACTCAAACAGTAGAATCCTTATATTTTTGCAACGTGATGCCTTTGATATTTTAAACTTTCACAGAATTTATAGTTTGAAATATCTAAGGTCTATGAAAATGGGTTGCAGAGATATAAAGATTAGAAAATAAGATTTTGTCCCTGTTGACATTGATAGCTGGTCCTCGTTCAAACATATGTGCTGAGATCGTGCGGCCATTCGTTTGGCATTGATAGTTACGAGCTTCAGATTAATATCAATAGCGTAAGAAATCGTTCCCATTGGATTGGCATTGATAGATCTAGAGCTTGTTTCCCTATTAACATTGATAGCTGGTCCTTGTTGGTCCGATTGATATAGATAGCTTACGAGATCGTGCCTTTTGGTTTGACATTGATCGATTATGAACTTGTGTCCGTTTGACATTGATAGCCGAGCTTGTGTCAGTGTTGACATTGATAGCCTAGCTTGTGTCAGTGTTGACATTGATAGCCTAGCTTGTGTCCGTGTTGACATTGATAGCTGACGAATTGTACGTGCATTTACTACAACGGTTTCCAGATGTTCTTTTTTTATTTTTTTATTGTAATTACTTCAACCCTTGTTTAAACCCCCTGGAGAGAGATATCTGCACCAATTCATATCTAACAATTGAGATGAGATAATTAATTATTCATATTCCCTAGTCATGGTGCCAGCTAGCAGAATAGAATTGGAGAGGGGGGGGGGGGTGGCTATGCAGTCTGCAGATAAAACTCGCAAAACCCGAAAAACTTTTTAGAAAAAGAGTTGGCGCGGTTTCTGTATTTTGCGGTAAACTTCATGAATAAAATTTAATGATAATTTTTTTTCTTTTTGTGCAAATCAAAACTGATAAGTCTGTGTTTGAAAGTTTCCACCTGATTAAACTGATGAAGTTGAATGTACCTTTTCACCCTTTTCACAAAAACATGTAATCATTGGAGGTAAAAAGAAGCTTTAAAAATGTGTATAAATATGATGAACGTTCTGAGGATAAACTGTAGAAAATATCTACTTGAAATATATTAAGTTGGAACTGTATTTACAGAATAAAATACTGTAGAAAATATCTACTTGAAATATATTAAATTGGAACTGTATTTACAGAATAAAAGACTGTAGAAAATATCTACTTGAAATATATTAAGTTGGAACTGTATTTACAGAATTAAATACTGTAGAAAATATCTACTTCAAGATATTCAGTTGGAACTGTATTTACAGAATAAAATACTGTAGAAAATATCTACTTGAAATATATAGAGTTGGAACTGTATTTACAGAATAAAAGACTGTGGATTTCCAATACTATCATCAACAAATATCTATGGAAAATATCTGAAAATACTTTTTTTAACAATTTTAGGAAAACATAAAAAAACTATATTCTTGTAATTTAGAGACCATAAATCTTTTAACCTTTTGGTGAAACCTGAAACTGTTGTATCATTGTATGTAATGCTTTGTTTCTGGACTTAAAGGGACAGACCGGCTATGTAAGGTAGTTAAACTGAGTATGCAGTGTTGTGTACAAATTATTTAGGATTTATTTGGGACATATAAAACGTTTCCACGATGTATATTTACTGCAAACCAATATTAAGGATAAGTTCAATTTTTTACAGGATTAATGGTACGACTTTGTCACTTCGTAGCGCCTCTATATCTATTTTATTTATGCACAAGTGTGAGATAATCAATTGTAAGATTTCAGTCTTACTTGCAATTTACTTTGGTTTGACGTGCTAACCTTTTTGTAGCCTTGGCTGTAAAGATTTTAAAGGTGGAAAGCTTGCAGGTTTAGCTTTATGTTAATTTTCACTCCAAAATGTGCAAAATAACGCATGTTTAGTTTTGTTTGTTTCATAGGGGAAAGGAGTAGGACATTTAGTTGACAATGAGAAAAGGGAGGGGAGGGGGGGTCAAATACAGCTGATTAAAGCAAGACTTGGCATTCATTCTTCAGAGAATGGAAGAATAGACAGTTATGTTGTGTGGAGATAGATAGATAGATGGACGAAGGGATAGATTGATGATTTGACAGATTAATACATAGATATCTAGATATATATGTATATATGCTTTCCTTGTCTGCTAAACTAGTTCTTCAGCAGTCCAAAAACGTCACAGCAAAGTGTACGGAAACCCTATCGCCCCCTCCTTCTATTCAATTCTCCTTGGGTTACGTCAACTTTCACGGTAAAATCTTAAAGGCTAGAATGTTGCGACACTTTAAAGTTGACGCAGTCTGGATAGATTGTGTCATAGGTTTTTACAACTATAATCGTACTAACGTTTTCTTGGCCGAGACACATCGAAATTCTCGTCCTTCCAATATGATTTTTTAAGTGTCCAATCCTTCCAGAAAACTATTTTTTAAGAATCGGGCCACGTTAGGACATAAATGAAATATCGGATTTTTGTAAATCGAAAAAAAATCAATTGAATTAAAGTTGTTAAGTTTAATGTCTTTAAGAATGTTCCCCTTTTATACGCGCATTTTAGATATTCCTGGTGTAGAATGCCGCAAATAATTCCGAATTAATAGAACTTCAACCTTTTTGTTAACTATACTGAAAATCATAGAACTGAATGCCAAATATTTTGCTATTTATTTTACATCGCTAAGGTTAGCCATTACAGAGGCAGGAGAGATTTAAGTTTTACCCAAAAAAAGTTAGACATCATTCTCATGTCTCTAAAGATTCCAACATGATGTAATCATTGCAATACTTTAGTCTATTAATATTTTATGCCCTAACGTGGCCAGATTAAAAAAAAATAGTTTATCTTCGGGAATTGAAAGCTTTTAAACACATAATCGAAAGACGATGATTCCGAGGTGGCTCGGACGAGAAAATGAGGAGAATATGGCTCGGACGAAAAATTGTTGTGGCTGACCTTCCTCACCTCCTTCAACTATAGGATTTGATTGTAAAGGAGTTATGATTTAAAAAAAAAATTTAATCTTACTTGCAATTTAGTTTAGTTTAACGTGATGTACATTAATATTATTATGTAAACCTCTGTTCATGTATGGCTCTTATCCAATTCTTGGAGAACTAGGTATTTCTGGAGAATTTGGTTGGGAGGGAGAGAGAGGGGACTAGGGAGAGGGGTAAATGAATAAACTCCAGGACAACACTATACCGATCACCAAGAAGAATGTTCTGTCCGTGGCCTGTCAATTCTACGACCCCACGGGCCTTGCAGCACCACTCATGTTCTCTGTTCGAGCCCTCTTCAGCGAAGTCTGTCGAGACTCTCAATACTCCATTAATTCTGTACTGCCTGAAGAATACACCGATAGATTTAAGCGTGCCGTTGGAGAGATCTTGCTCACCAAGGAAATATATTTCCCCCGCCAGATCATCTTCAAATATTCAGCTCAACTCTTCATCTTCTTCGACGGAAGCCTGCAAGGATACGGTGCTTGCGTTTACGCTCACTCCAATAACCAATTCAACCTTCTCTACAGTTCAGCCAAGGTATTGGGGAAGACTGCATACTCCGCACCTCAATCCGAAATAGCAGGGGCAACCCTTGCTGCCAGAATGGAACAGAAAATCAGCCAGGAGCTGTTCAATGTGACCTTATATTCTCCTGTATTCATGGGAGACTCAGAGATCATCCTGAAGATGATCGCCAAGAATGATCCTGCTGGACCTCCCGTGTTCTATGGAACCAGACTCATGGAAATCCTTTCCACCTCTTCACCAGACAACTGGTTCTGGTGTCCAGGCCCTCTTAATCCAGCAGATCTGCTGACTAGATCTGGAACAGAATGCAAACAAATCAACTCTGAGTTCTGGCTTCAAGGCAGTTTTCTTCCTCAGGAAAAGTCCACTTGGCCAATCTTAGCATGTACTTCTCTTCCTACCTCCGATACTAGCACCAGGATGGTCAACGTCGTTAACATACCGGTCAACCAGTCCCAGGGTTTGATTACCCACTACCTGGAGCAATGCCTGAGCCTCACCAAGGTAACTAGAGCTATAACTCTCCTCCACAAAGTCTGCAGAGCCTGGAGGGCTAAAAGGAATCCTCACCCTGATTTTACCTGGGGCAAGATCAAGGACTCCATCTCCTCCTCCATCATCAAATGCTTCATCAGACCAACAGAGGCCATAATTGCCTCCAACAAGATGAAACACCTGGTGATTCAAAATGTTGAGGGGGTCTATTACGTCTCCGACAGAAGTTTTCGTTCCCGGGTTGGTGTTCCACTCCTTTCCAAGACGACTATCCTGGCGAAATGCATCGTTAATGATGCACACAGTGACCTAGGCCATGGTCGAGACGTCCTCCATACCATCTCTCACATACAAACCAGTTTCTTTATTCCTGGCGTCCGGAAAATGATCACCGATCTGAAGAAGTCTTGCCCTGGATGCATCAAACTCAACAACAAACCGTTCTCTGCATTCGAGGCTGATGTCCCTGACGTCCTCAAGACCATCCAGCCTCCCTTCACTTACTGTCAGGCTGACATATTCGGACCAATATTTGCCCACCAAGATGGACAACAACTCAAGAGATGCGTGTTAGTTGTTCTCTGTCTCTCCAGTCGCGGGGTGCACCTGGAAATCCTCCACAAATACAGCGCTCAAAGTATCTCCAGAGGTTTCCGCAGGACATTCGCCCTAAGAGGTACTCCAAGAATCATCTGGATCGACGCCGGACTGAACATCGTGAAGGCAGGCAAGGATCTGAGCGATACAGAGATGAAGGTGATCTCCAGCCTCAACCTAAAGTTTGAAACCATCGAGTTCAGGGTAACTCTTCCCAAACACCACCAAGGCATCGGAGCTGTTGAGAGAATTATTGGTTCTATTAAGAACACTGTCAGCAAATCTGTGACGGGACCGCAGCACCTAATCATGGACGACGAAGAACTTCTCACCTGGTCCCATATGGTCATCGACGAGCTCAATAACCGGCCTCTTATCCTCGCTGCTCCGCTGGGAATCACCGTCACCCCGAACCACATTCTCCAGGGTTTTAAGGAGAGTCACGGGGACGAAATCAACCTCAACACCCCCGTTCGACACCAATTATCCAGGTGGAAGATTGCCCTCAATGCCTTCACCTCACTCTGGTTACAGGAGTAAACCAGGAGGAGGTTGACCGTTGCCTGGAAGGAACAGAGAGGGTCACCTCAAGTAGGAGACATAGTTCTATTCAAGAACGATACCATCTACCGTCACCCAATCTCGGCTGCAAGAGTAGAAGCTTTACTCTGCAGGAAGAATGGAGACGTTTACGGTGCAACCATCAGCTACTGCCGAGAAGTAGGAGGGCGGAAAATCACCGTCGACCGTCATCTGAACCAGTTATTTCCATTCCTCGGCGTTGAACAGCAACTCCCTCAGGAAACAATTCACGGACTGGCAGAAGATCCTGTAGCTGAGGACCTAGCTCCAGACAGCTCAACTCAACATACCTCTGCTCAAGACGAGTTCCACACAGATCCTGCAAACCCGGACCAGTAAAAGTATAATTCCAGCGGGTACATTAAAATTTTGTCTTATTTTTTTTTTTTTGGTCATATCAATCAATCCATTTCAAATTCATCAACATTATTTACTATTTCGTTGCTTTTCACCTTTCAAAACAAGCGGAAAATTTACCAATACCCGCCGGATTCACAACTCCCCGCCGGGAAACAACTATGAAACAACTCAACACAGGAAATCAACTAGCCCATTAAACATTAAATTCAACAATGGAAATATTTACCTAACACCCAATTTCATTTATTTATTTCCCTCAAAAGAAATCCCATTTAACTGTCACAATGCAACACTTTTAATTTGCCAATCAATCAATCATTAAAATAACAACTTGTTTATGTTAATTTAATATTCAATTCTCTGGACTGCCCTTTAACCTACAATTCATTATTCATGATTTCGCATTTCTGTATCAATTCTGATAGTTTGTCAATAATAATAATATCCCTACATGTAGTGTAACAATGTGTCCCTTGTAATGTACCAATCAATCAATCAAACCCACAATGTAAACATTTAAGGGATATGGTTCTCATTTCTTCTCGTCTATAAGCTTTTATATCCTCGTACCCCTCCTGGGGCCACTGTGAACCATATCCCTCAAATTTCCCCTGTTGTAAAGGTCGTCTCCGACAAACTGTACCTCCGTTGAATATACTCTGTCCACTCACCAAACCAAACCTTGCCAAGGATTTTTCATAAACATAAACAACAGCCGCATGGAGCTAATAAAACTTTAAGTGCATTAAAAGAACCCATTTAAACATAATTTCAGTGAATCATTTGCAATCAAATAGTGAACTTATTTAATCAGACGAATATTTATTTTCAGAAGAATTAAATTTGCTTTAGACTTCAGTACAAACAACTTTTCGACCCAACACAGTTTTCTAGATTGTAAGTTCCATTCACAACAGTACCTTTTAAACCTTTTATTAATCAATTCACAACAGTGCCTTTAAACCCTTTATTTATTGATTTACAACATCAAAAAAATATGATCCCCAATCCTGCTAAACCCACTAAACCTAAAATCTCCAATCCTACTAAACCTACAAAACCTAGAATTCCAATACTCATTTATTGATAATAAAAAACCTTCAACTGTTTAATCTTTATTAACAATTATTATTTATATGCATGTACCCCAATAACAATTTGTATTTTGTAGGAAACCTCGTTACTGAAATATACTTTTCTCAAGAAGTTATCATCTATCTGTGTCTGGTAGAAAAGAGTGTTTTCCTTGCCAACTTGCCTTTCCCTCTTTCGAGTATTATTCCTTTTGTTCAGCTCACAACAGTGTTGAGATTTGCACTCACCGGTCGCGGAAATTAAATGATCCGAAAATTTGTTCCGTAAGTGGAATTCCGTAACCAAGATTTTTTTTCTGGTTTATGAATTGGAAAATTGAAATTTTTGGAACCCTGTTCCGAAATTCCGGAACGTTTCGGAAAAATTCAGGTTTTTATTCCGCAAGCTGGAAAAATTTGTGAACCAGAAAAAATCAAGCTTTCATTTTGTAAACAGGAAAAATTTCAGGGTTCCATTACCTAACCTGGAAAAATTCCATTCCATAAACCGGAAAAACTTCCAGGTTTCCATTCTGGAAACCAGAATGGTATAATGAATCTGTGTAGGAAGTAAGCTTGACACCAATTCTACTTCTATTAAAAACTTAAAATGTATACATTTTCAGGAAATGGCATCTAGTATAAACTTAAGTAGGGTGTTGGTGATTAAGCAATTAGTTTACTCATTGATTAGTAGATTAGTTGATTTGTTGATTAGGCTCCTTATAACTCTGACACAAAGTTGCAAATAATCAGATAAACAGATTTATTTCAAACCTACAAAAAAATACAAATATGGTAAAATAAAGGTTGATGTATAAATGGTTTTGAATATTTAATTAGATAACCTACTATTTAGGTGTGTCAGGATAATTAAGGAATGATTAGGGTTCAGAGGATTTGATGGAGTAGTTTAAAACATTTGGAAATACTTCTGAAAATGAATCCCAATTGTTCAAGAGGAATTACTATGGATTGCAAATTTATTCGTGAATTTTATTCACTAGTCAAAACGTTTCACTTTCCATGTTTTCCTTTTGTCGGAGTATTGCCGAAGTATTATTTAGGTTTGAACTTCTCCGAGAGGAGGGGTTGGTAAAGACGACATTGTGTGGGATGAACTAGAAGTTAGATTTATAGTCAAAATATCTATATTTTTCTTAATTCTTTTATAAGGAAGGATGTATATATTCACAAATATTTTACCATCATGACTATTTCACTATAGGTTTTCACTTTCCCGTTAATATTTTTTGACAAATTTTTAAAAATTTTTTTTAAGAGGGAAGATGATCCATCGTAAACAACTCAGAGCTTATAAGTAAGATATAGTCAAAGTCACTTAGTCTGGACTTCTATTGCAGTATTGCACGATAACCATCTGGAAGTGTAATCATCTGTTGATTCACAAATAAGTTTTATAAGATTTTTTGCTTATTATTCTAGTAGGAATTTGAATCTTACTTTTTTCTATTGATCTAGTATTCACTCCTCAGTCTGAGAGTTCTCTTATATCTTCCATTTCCTCTATTAAGAAGGTTCTGTTATCTCCAAAATTCCGGATCAATTCTGGAACAATTTTTTTATCCGTAAACCGGAAATTTCTGGAACCCTGTTCTGTAATTCCAGAACGTTCTAAAATATTGTTCCGGAAAATTCCGGTTTATGGAAAAATCGTTCCAGAATTTTACGGGAAAAGGTTCTGGAATAAAGTTAGAAACAGCTTAAGTCAAAAGATAAAAGAGTAAGAAATACTATCTAGATAATGATAGAAAGTGCGCCTGATTTAACTGTAGTTAAAGTTACTAATGTGATCTGAGGCTGGCTAAACCATCCTAATTCCTTCGAGTACAGCAATTTGGATGATTCATCCAAATTGTCAGGAACAGTCCCTTTAAAACTATAAACTTTTAGAATGGTACGAGCATGGTACGAGGCTGAGATGAGTGCATGCACGCAAAAGGAATCGAGAGCTCGCGAAGGAGCGGTAGACAAACGGGGCGCGGCACCAAGTCTCCATTTGATCCGACATACGAAATAGTAACCTTAAACTTTTATTTCAGATATATACAATGGGGGATCATTCTACTGTTTGAAGCTTCCACGGTAAAATTGCTAAGTTCTAAACTCATCAATTTTATACATGGAGGTTTCTTTATAGATTGAATGAACTCACATTGATTTAATTTATCGCTAATTTTGTTTTAACTCTAAATTGTTTTTATTTTCAAAATTAAAATATTGAACTTCTGTGTCTGGAAGTACACTTAAATATTTAATTAGAAGTTCCTTATACATACTTATACTTATTAAGTTACATTGTACATTTTCTACGTTTTACATTTTCTACATTGCAGTTAAAATTTAGATATTTACATTTTCCAAATTTTACTTTTCTACATTGCAGTTAAAATTTAGATATTTACATTTTCTACATTGTGCATTTCATACATTGCAGTTAAGATTAAGGTAGTTAGTTAGTTCTCCTAAGTAATTAGGACGTGGGAACACGAACCACGATTTAGGATTTAGTTAAGATTGCAGTTAAGATTAAGATAGTTAGTTAGTTTGCCTAATTAGTAGGCCGTGGAAAACATGTACCACGTTTTAAGTTAGGTAATATTTTTGGACCGAGAGACCAAGGATTGATAATCTACAGAGAACGAGCTCCTGATAGTTAACAGTCGAGAGTTATTAATCTTTTTATAGTAAAATAAATCCCTATCTACCAATATGTAAACAACCTCAGATGTAAGAAACCAGATAACACAAATTGGTCCGGGGGTAATCAAACAAGACCTGAAGTAACTGTTACTTAAACATCTGGTTTGAAGCTGGATTAAAGCTGGAACTTAAGTTGAAGTTGAAGAGGAAGTCACAGAATTACATCGTATCCAGCTCCTGTTACTTAAACATCTGGTTTGACGCTGATTTGAAGCTGAATCTAAAGTTGGAGTTGAAGAGGAAGTCACAGTATTACATCATATCCAGCTCCTGTTACTTAAACATCTGGTTTGAAGCTGAATTAAAGCTGGAACTTAAGTTGAAGTTGAGGAGGAAGTCACAGTATTACATTGAATCAAGTTAAAATTACAACAAGCTGATTGTTCTGCAAGATAACTGCTATATGAAGCTGATTATGATCGGGGTTTTGAAGATCAGAAAATTAGAACAAGCTGATTGTTCTGCAAGATAACTGCTATATGAAGCTGATTATGATCGGATTTTGAAGATCAGAAAATTACAACAAGCTGATTATTCTGCCAGAAAACTGCTATATGAAGCTGATTATGATCGGATTTTGAAGATCAGAAAAATTACAACAAGAGAACAGCTATATGAGGCTGATAATTTACTGATCAATGATCAGAGTACAGCAACAAGCTGATTGGGTTCTCCATAGAATAGAACCAGGAGTAGTAGAAAACCAGAAAATACTCCATGTAAGAGAATATAGATTCTCTGAATATTAAACATAAACCTTAAAACCTGAATAAATAAACGTAGATTTCTCATACATTTTGTTACTTTTTAAAAAAAAAAACTTCAGAATACTCTTTAATCTTTGAGTTATCACTCTGTTTTTCTGCATAGTCTGATTTTCTCTCCTTTCTTTCTTGATTTCAAAGCAATTTTACATCTATTTTATCTAATTGCGATTAGGTATTTATACTCTAAAAATTGGACTTTAGTTAATTTTTAGACACTACGGCTTTTGTTTTACATTCTCCAAATATATTTACTTTTGATTTACCTTCTTTCTGAATTTTTATATTTATTTTCATTTCGATATTCTAAAATCGGACTCTGGCCATTTCATTAACTCTAAGTCTTGGATAACTTTGCTAGTCTACTCTATAATTTCTAAGATATTTATCTGAATCTACTTTTCAAGTTGATAAACTT